TTCACCTATTTTTGTTTGGGAGTGGGTAACACAGCAGTAACATGGGTTCCCACAAAATTTACATCTCCTTTTACCTCATCTCTCCATTCGTGGATGAGTACTTCTGCTATGTTACTTGTCTGGTGCGATGCGGTTACGTCATTATGACTATTACGTTTGCGTGCCAACTGCTTTCTTTAAGCTTGCTTGAGTACAGCGGTAGCATATTGTACCATTGTTCTAGAATGTACTTATGGCGATAACCCGAATGGGAAGCCATCTTGAAAATAAATTTTACTAAAATGATGTACCATCTTTTCATCTAGAATTGCTTTCCCTTATTCTTCCGGTTAGAGAGAAATCAGGAGCCCAAGGACTAAATATGGGAATATGATCACTTGTGAGCCTAGTAGGCTCATTTTTACTCAGTGTCTAGTTGAGGGCATTGTAACAAATAGAAAGCGCTCCAAAATGTGATGTAGCATAAAACGATCAACAGACTTCAGGCAAACATATCTATCAAACTATAAGTACATTTCGGTAAAGCTACGGACAAATTGGACAAAACACTGAAGTGACCTGATTACAAACATGTGGATCATCCTCACTATTGTCGACACTCATTCGGTTGACTTATTGGTGCAGTTCCGGTTTGAACCGTCCCGATGTCCATGGAGCAGATTACACTGGATGCACCATCACGTGTGTTGCAACACCACTGTAAACAATGGTGACGCATTTTGAAAGAAGATCATTCGTATCATATGCACTATATGTTGGTAACTAAGTCATTGTCACTGCTGTACTTGTCTAAAATCTTCATTGACCCTTCGTTTCAAAGCAATCTGGGATCGGTTGTTGCGATATAGATCGCCAATTGTTGCTAAACTATTGCTGTTCAGCCGGCAGGGGTACTCGAAGAAACCATACCAGTATGTTCTTGCTCTTCTAGTTGTGAAGATATCCTCAAGAATGGCAATAAATGTTGACAACTGAGGTGTTGCTTGAGCTGTCAGACCACGTGTTAACAGATGGTCAGATTGGAAACAGAGTGCTGTCCACGTGGTGGAAAGGTTGAACATGTAGGTGCAACTACCATTGGTACGAATTGAGGGTTTGTTCCTTCGGGTGACGTTTTACCATCCTAGCGCATCTGACTTGAAGTAGTTTGACTTCTCGGACCAAGTAACTGCGATAGAATAGGGTGGTGCGAGACTCAGGTAATACTGTGTACGTGTCTAATTAACCCATTCGTTTGGGCACTACCTAAGGTAGAATATATCATCAGGTTGCGCTATATACAACTACACCTTCAAAAATCCGGTATATTTATATCATTCTGGACTAGGCGCTGCGCCAGTCCGCACCTCGCAAGCCGCCAATCAATAACCATCCCGTTCCATGCAGTTACGTACAGAAAAGTGAATGTAAATTGCGTCTAACCACTTACCTGTCTCACCTTTGGTGCGGCACCTACTCGTAAGGGTTACTGCGCCCACATAATCCTCACGTGATGCTTGTTGTACCCAAGCACACTGCTTATTCACTGCAGAACGAGCTAGTCAGACGCCACATTACGGTGTTGCCACCTCCGTTGAAGACCTGCCTAGCCCAAGAATGACAGCAAAACGTCAAGGTGCTCACACGAGTGCCCACTCCATCAGTAAGTCACCTGCAACCGCATTTGACACAGGCAGTTCGGTCACAATTACCGCGATCTTATGTTCGTGTGTTGCTTACGTTGTTCAATGACAGCGCATGCGCACATATCGCTCATACGGCACATTTCATCTACGCGGACCGATGACTGAAGGCCAGGTGTAGGGTTCTCAACTGAGTCCCAGTCGCAAGTACGTGTTGTCAACTAAGGGCCTAGTTGCCCTACATGCACTAATGTGCCTCATAGTCTGCGTAGAACTAGCTTCGGTGTAGCCAATGGTTGCTGACTTTATGTGTCGAATGCTACTAGGCACCTCCCAAAGTGCGTTGTGTCTGCGTCGCACGCCACGATGTAGCAGGTGCGTTTGACATCAAGTGCGCTACTAGCAATTCATTGTTTTTGCGCGTCTGATATGTCATCACTCTAATTGATATTGGATTTTTAACGAGCAGCACGTCGCTTTTTGTAAGGACCATACTTTATGTAAGTTGGTTGACTTAGGAACTATTTTAAGTGATTTACAGAGGAATGCCTTTTCTTAAAGTGCGATTTGACTGTTGTACCTACTTGACTGAGATAGTTTCTAATGCCCGGGATATCAGATTTGTTAGAATGCGTGTTGTGATCAGCAGTTCTGGTCGTGATTTACTGTGAAGTGAATAACAATTTTGTGCACTAAGATCCCATCTGAAGTAGCATGAAAATGATGACCCTAATTAAGCATGCAGGTGGTATTCTCACAGATAACAGTCAACTGTAAATATCGTGAAGCGCTTACTGTTCAATTTTGTGCTGTACGGGGGAAAACGTTCCCTTGAGATCTCTGCCACTGTGTTTCCAGTAGCAATTTTAGTATTATTCCTATGAGAAAAACCGGACAAATACGATACCTACCATGAAGTACAACGGTTTCCAATGTGACAGTAATTTCAATTATTGTTGATGACCAGTTATTTCCATTTTGTGGTCGAATTATTAGACACGTTACATACTGCATTTGACGAAGGGCGGTTCACCTCAGAGTCTGATACTATCAACTTCCAACTTCAAGTGCTTTATTGTAAGTAATCAATTGAGGCAGCAGCAATGGATAACTGAACCTAACTAACTTAGCAACCAAGTTCCCCTATCAAATAGTGTGGCTACAGTAATGAAGACACTGTTAATGTGTATTACACTTCAAGTACTTGCTAAATGGTAACTTGACATTAGGCAACGCTGATTTTCCTCTCGAGATTGAAATGGCTACTTACCACACTTCTCTACGTGTGATTTCCTTGGTGGAGTTGACAATTTGTTTACAGTTGCTTTATGTCTTTAAAAACACCCAGCCTCCTCCCGTGGTGATTGATGTTCCGCCAACCAGCATTAAACATGTTTGGGTTTCAATAGCTTGTTACACCCCACTGACATGGGGTTAGCTGGGCCTGCAAGCAGACCAAATTTCTCAGTATTTGATTCTACTTGTTCTGCCTTTCACAATCGTACGCCTCTTATGCACATAGCAATAGGGATTGTCAGTCTTGAAATCCTTGAGTCGAATATCATTTAACTCAATCGTTCCTCGAAGAAGAGAATACATATAAAGTTTAATTCATTCAAAATATATATTTCCATACAGCTTATATTGCACCGAAATGCCTCCTGGGGTGTTACGGTGCTCATGTTTCTTAACTAACCCGTGCAGCATTCTGTGAAACCGTAGATAACCACTCCACAGTGGACGATACGTCATTCTGATGGCACAAGTGAAAGGTGGAAAAATAGCAGCCACTGTTATTGGGAAGAAATCAAATCGTTGCGAATGTAATTCAGATAATCAAACGGTCTCTGTTTATCTCAGTGAAATTAGCAGTCTAGTTTTAACGTGCTTAGCATGGTTTATTTTGTTATAAAAAGTACCAGGAACTGCAACATGCTCTACTGTTACTACTGTTGCGCGCGTGCCTGCTTCATGACACTACACAAAAACAACAAAATGCGAATGTATAGTAATGAGGTAAAGGCCAGTTAAGAGAAGTCTCCAAATGTTAGCCCTATTCCTTAAATGTTACGCTCCAAGGTCGGCCCAAGCTTTCCACCGGTTTCGACAGTTATTTATTAATCAGCATTTACAAATGGACTTCCTTAGCCTGAAAAGTCAGTTCAAGCAGGCTTATTTGTGAGGTCACCAATTTGGTGTAAATTAGAAAATATCATTTCCAGCTGGCAAGGGAGCACGACTGTGTTGGTCACAATCTTTTACCTTAGTTGGTAACCGAATTCCCCCATCGGAAACATTTATGGATAATTGTTTTAGTGACTACGAATGTCGACTGCGATCTACAGACTGCAGAGCTATTTCTGAACGCCTAGTAAATCAATTTTCGTTGATAAATGTCAACCTAGTTTTGTGTCTGAGTGCCTTTCCGATTGTGTGCAATTCTACCTGCCAACTCCTGATAGCGTGGTCATTTCCCGGAAATTAACAAATGAGTCACCCATTGCGTGAGCATGGCCTGGCCTATTGTTTTGCCGTGATGACATAAAGTTAGTTGATTGTCGCATATACCCCTGATAGGTCCCATTTCCGAATCACTCGCAAATGCTCGCGAACCGGATAGGAGTATCTATAGGAGGGTTAGGGGAGCTGATAAGTGACAGCTTAGTTGCTAATACCAGTGCAATACTTTAAATTCGATCACACACGTTTCCGATGTGGAGTCAACGGTAATCTTTGGTGATCATTAGTGCGCAGTTAGGTCGACCATGCACTTGTGCATGCAGAGATGATTTCAAACAATAGCTCAAAACAACGTTAGAATAACTTATCTGCTCGTGTCTCGAAAAGCACATTGTCGAACTTGTGCCCGCTTACCTTGAAATACTAATATTAACGTGTAATGTCGACTTTACGAGACATCCTTCTCTACATGATCCTTGGAGCTTTCCGGAAAGTAACATGCGTGTGCAATCTCTGTACATCATCCTTATCATTGTAGTCGGAAAATGGCTTTGATCAGCTACACATTTACTGCAAGCAGCTATTATCGCACATCTCACTCCGTCTGCGCATATGTTGGGTAACTTCTACGCTGCACAGCAACACGACGGCAAATTCCATCTTCAATGTAGCGAAAGGAGTAGAGTATCACAAAGTAAACAGATCAGCTGTCTACTTTTATACAGCTGATCTACAAGAGTAGCGGACGAATTAAAAATCTTTGACAACCCCTGAAACGTTTTGTATCTAATATGAGTATGCCCATATACGAAGTAAATTTTTGCTCCTACTTACGTGAGCGACTTCACACTGACGAGCTTTGTGAATGTTCCCCAATCAGGTGTAGTTGTTATGTTGACGATCTGTATTCATTTCCAGACTCCCGGTACACGCCCGTCCCCAAACCGTACTCGGCCCTGTTGGAGCCTTGCCGTTGAACGGGTTCATGCACTCTACATCTCTGCCGTTCGCTGCGTTTCCAGTTCCCGAGTCCAATGAGCACTACACTCCCGATCCATACGCTTCCTGTGGTTTGAACTATCTGCCTGCAGCCCATTTCACCGGCTACCCGGCATGCACGCTGACGGCCTCCGATCCACTTCCCATGCCGACCGCACAACCGGTCGCCCTTGGATTCAACGTGATGAACTTCACCAGTCCAATAGGACTCTCAGTTCCAGGCGCTTCCAGTGAATTTCCGGCATATGCACCTCCTGCGTCGCAGACGAATGGATACATTACCACTGCACCCTGGTGTCTGTTTGTGTGCAATCTGCCGCCGGAAACCGATGACGCGACTTTGTGGCGACTGTTTGGTCCGTTCGGAGCTGTCCGATCAGTGAAAGTAATGCGAGAACCTGGTACCAACCGATGTCGTGGATACGGATTCGTCACTATGACTAACTACGCAGAGGCAGCTCTGGCTATACATCAGCTTAACGGGTTGGTTAGATAAAACATTTGTCCTCACTATCTGAAATTTAATTGGATGTTTATTAGACGGTGATAACATGTGGCCAAACTTGTATTTTCTAGGTTCTTTGTTACATCAACATCCGAACGAGACAAGTGTTAAGCCACGTTAGTTTGACCTTGCATTTAGATTGATACTTTGCTGATGAAACGTATAGTTGCTCTGTTGCTATTACGTGACACTAATGTTCCAACCAACTCAGAATAACCATATCTGTTTGACAAATTACGACCCTTAGGTGCCTCCTCGGAAGTCGCAACATTCAAGTCACTTTCAAACTGCAGTTCTGTCCCGTGTCCACATGAACCGGTACCATCCCTACAACCCGTCTCCTTTCGACTATCAGGTCCGCCAGCGCCTGCATCTGTACTATATTTTTGTGCTCTAAAACATTTTCTTCTCGCAATAAACGGACCTCTACAACCGACAGCAACTCCATCCAAACTACTTGTCAACGTGCTCTAGCTTGGACTGCGTATGTTACCTCGACATGCGAAGCGCCCTTACCCTTCATTTTTCTCGAACTGCATTCTTGTTTACCTTCTTTTTGCAACTTGGAGAAGAGCAGTGGCACAGCCACTTTATAATGGTTTTTACCTTCTAAAGACTGTGATGCAACCTATTTTTATCAGTTATTAATTTTATCATCCTGTCGTGAACAGGACCCTAAAAGTGACGATCATTTTTGCACGACCTGTTGCTCCCCTGATTCTTCCACACACGCACGCAGACGCAAACACACCTACACAGAGTCTTTCCCCTGCTGGATGATATAGTGATTTTTTCTTTATTCTGCACTTGTTTGGTGTTTAAAAATTTCTCAAAACCTATGACAATGTACGTTCCTTTTGGTACATCTAGTGTTCCCCTTCCTGTTTTAAACGGTTCGGTGGGCTGACACGATCGGGAGAGGAGTTGTGTTCCCCCGACACACAGACACAATCGCCAAATCAGCTTAGCTAACTGTCCTCCATCAGCTCTTCCGCTTGTTTATCAAATCCAATTTTTGTCATCTACTTGTAAATCTGCTTATCATTACCTTGTAGACAGCCGCAATCCATATTTCACACAGCCAACTCCATATTGAATGAAGTTCTACATCCTCCTCTGTTTCACCTTATTCCTTCGTTTGGAAAATGTGATTCCTCTGCTAATTAAACTTTTGCTGAAAATAATCATGTTTCGGTATATAGCTGATGCATTTAGATTATCCAATTATCAGCAACGTGCAAACATGTACTGCTTATCTTCCCTTTACTTTCAAGATATACTTTAAATAATTTTCCGTTTCTTTATGTAATCTCTTTTTTATGCCCCGCTGACACACCAGCTCCTTCTTATTAATTTGTGATGAATATGATCTATGTGTACTGTTCCACGAAAATGAAACAGTTTGGGACGATTTGGTTTGGGGGATCTCTTTCTCTGGTGACAATCGCCCAAGCATGAACAAGTTTGTCGGTATACTTATGTGAAACCATGTGATCTGACCCCCGACTAACGGTTAGCTACTTCTGGTCGCCCAGAAACATTATATCTTTCCCCATTTGTTACTTGTGCCGGTTCCATACTGCTTTTTCTGAGCACACATAACTAAGGTTTTAACTTAAACATTCTCCTTCTATCTAGTCACTTTTAATGTATGCTTTAGTATTTCTATCCCGAACATTTTCCCATATTCAAAATCATTTCGGCTACCCATGTTGTTAGTGCGCCGCGCATTGATCACACATCTTCATCGGCTTATCCTCCTGTGTTGCTGTCTAAAATTTGTCACATTTTGATCTGTAATTATGCTGCTATTGGAAAGTCGAACCGTATGACGCTTCCCACTTCATTTGCACTGCTCCCCTATGTATACACCGATAAACAGAGAATGGACCGGAACACTGAATTGCAAAAGGAATATGACACTCCCGTTTCAACCCGCATTTGCATAAACTCGAACCTATACTTTAAAATAAAATATGTTGTTGATCATGCTTGCTAATTTTGTGGTGGACAAAAATGCACATGTATATTTTCGGCCCCAAAACTTGGTTTCCAAGTGTTTATTCTTGAGGATAGTAATGACCCTCTCACCGGTGACTGCATGGACGATCCTAATGCCTGGTGATGAATTGTTGTGGTTTAATTTAAGTGAACGATTGATAACATCTTCTTACTCTGAACAGAACGGATAAGTTGTTTTTCAATTCGATTCAATCCTGTATATGTTTTATTCACTCAAAAGGGTATATTTTCCAGCACTTTCCGATATCCACTACGGATGATTTGAGGCAGCATCATTTACAATGCAAACGGACTATCTCGAATCTGCATCCTGTTGACGGCACAATGTCCATGACCAGTTTAGCGATCCGGACAAGGGTTTCTTGGGTTACAACACGCCTGCTAACTACACGCAATAGGCGCGTTAATTTCAAAGTCTATCTCAACTATCGGAGAATATCAGAGTTATTGACCTTGTAGCTAGCCTAACGGAAGAGTGTCCAAAAAATGCAGTGAAAACTGATGAACTCGCAGCAGAAAAAGGAACAGCGATGTTCTAGTGAAAAGGAAACTGCCGATTCAAAGGTCATTCAACAAGTTAGTTTAAGTATACCGATTAGAGCAACAGGAGAATTGCATCATGGTGAACTGGTGCATGGTGCAACTCCCTATCATGAACCCAGAACGTATTGATTTGATCGGTGGTCACCTTGTAATAGATAAGTGCGTAACTACACCTTTCATGAGTCTTCCACCATCGTTTTATCGTATCATGATGGGCTGGTGGCGGTGGTTCCGTTAATTGCTGGTGTATGTGTTACTTGTGACACAAAACCATCCTTCTATGTTGACCAAAGTCTGTGATGAATTTAAAAGGGATGAAGAAGACGGTTTCTTAAATCATTTACCTCATAGGCGAACAAAAGGAGGTTGTGATAGGATTGATGTATTTTACTAGCGCATCGCAACTACATGACTGGATAACTCGCAGCAATTGAAGAGCTTGCAAACATGAGGATTTTTCAAACCAACACATGCAAATGGAATAGTCGGGTACACTTTATACCGCACAGAGCACGTCTATACTAGATGGCTTCCTTTAATTTTTCACGGGTTTCAGATTCAGCGGATAGAGTATGAAGAATGCGGAAAAAATGCCTGGGTAAAATGATTCAATAAAATATTAGATGGTAAATGTTGTGCATTCGGTCAGCATGCTTGCCGGCTAGTCTAGACAGACACGTGCACACACACACATACACACACAAGTGCATATTTGTCTGCTTTCCCGTTGGTTTATCTTTCTCCTTGCAACACAATGTACTTACGTAGTTAGGCACTTCTCAGCTTACAGTAGTTTGTCTATTAGAGCAACCTTCTTACTTACGTTCGTGCATTTGACTTTTCGTACACAACATTAGCGTCGCGACTTGCGGACGTACGCCATGGAATTAGTTGCTCGTACAGTTTACTGGTCTGATCCGAAAGTACATGGCCCCAATGGAAAACGTCGTTTATAAACTATCTTGACCAACTACCTGAGGTTTCTAACTACACAGAAGGCCAGAAACTAAAGCTTCTCATACACCTACTCGGTGATGAAACACAACGCCAACTTGATGCCTTGGAGCTCCAGCCTCAAGATCCCTTAACGAAAGTAATAGATGTGCTGGACAAGTCATATGGCCAGCGTAAAAACCTTTTCATGACTCGCCTCAAATTCGTCCGACTTACAGAGGAACCATCGGAAACTCGAGGCAGTTTTCTTGATCGCTGTGTACGATTCTGCGCTTATCCAAACGTACCGAAAAGTAGAATCGAGGGTGTCATACCAGTGCATCAATTGATTAGTGGAATCACAAATAACCCGAACTCGGGAAAGCCCACTTTCCGAGGATGCTTCCACATTGACTTGGGATAAGGCTGTGGAATTAGCTCTCCCCAAAACATGTACGGCCGAACAGATGCTATGTTTAGCTACCCACGCAGACATACAGGAGGGTGCCAAGAAGCATCGCTCGCCAACTGAATCCCAAACCCCACAGAAATGCTTCCTCTGCAGTCGCCTACATCATAAAGCCAATTTTACCAACTACCCTGCCTTAGAAATGGATTACAAAAATTGCAATAAGTGTGGATATTTTGCCAGTTATTGTCGTTCAGTCTGCATTTCTCAGTTGTATCCTACAAATTCCGTTTCTAGTCATCAGTTACAGTCATCTGCAAAGGTGGTTTCCAATGGTAACAGAGATACTATGTCTAACTATCATTCCACTTAACCAGAGCCTAAACTTCCTATACCTGACATTCGTACCGTTACCTTTATTGCACACGATAGAACAACACATTTTGATATGGAACTTGATTCAGTCTCTCCTATCACTATGGTACCGAGTAGTTGTTATGACATTCACTTACACGATATGCCTATACATCCTTCAGCCTATCAATTTGACAGTTATACGGAGGCCCCGGTAGAAAAATGAGAATTTGTAGTGATTGCTTTGCAAGTTGCTGCCGGGAAATCATCAGTTGCTGTATACGTCACCCGCGGAAATAACCGTCCTCTACTCGGGCGCAATGCTATGGTTGCACTGGGAGTCAAGCTGTCCCTATCTCGTATGCGTATCATGGCGGTTAACTTATCAGACCTACGGATACAGTACCCGAAGCTGTTTGAACAAACAATATGGCCCGCTCCCTCCTCGTTCATCGCATATGTCTGAAGCAGGATGTTAAACCAGTAGCTATTGCTCAGCCACGTCCCATTACTTCGTCCAGAAGGGAGGCTGTTTCAACAGCGTTCCGGCAAATGATTGCAGATGATCTCATTGAACCCATTAACTGTTCTGAATGGGGCCACCCTATAGTTATAGTCTTCAAGAAGGACGGTACAGCGAGAATATACCATGACCTGCAATCCATAAATCATCAACTCGTGGTAGAAAGTTTGTGCTTCCAACCGCGGATGAACTATTAGTCAAACTAGACGGTGCCCGATTTTTTTCAAAATTGGACCTTAGGAGGGCTTTGTTTCACAGTGCCTCTAATTAAGGAAGCAAGACAGCTGACAGCATTTCTTACTATGGACGGACTCTCAGTACAAAGTCTTGCCAATGTGCTTGAATTCAGCCCAAACAGCTTGGCAAAAGTTTTTGGTTCACTCATTTGCCAATTTACCGGGTCAAATAGTACACATGGACGACATCTATTAATTAGGTAAGACTCCAGAAGAACATGATTTACGACTTCATGTTGTGTTAAGTCGGTCACATGATCTTGACCTCCGATTAAACTTCGAAAAGTGCAAATTTAATGCCAGTGAAAGCAAGTTTCTGGACCACATTATACCAACTGATGTTATGAAGCCTAGTTTTGACAAGGCGTGTCATCACCGAGGCATCTCATCCCCAGAACTTCTCCGAAATAAATCTTTTTCTAGCTAAATGATCTTAAAACCTACGGTACCTGCAGGATTTCACGAACATTGTTGAGCCGCTGCGTGAACTGACGAAAGAAAAAAGTGTATTTGTTTAGGGTCACCTTTAACAAAAGGCATTTGGCTGGATAAAACGCCACATTGCTTTCACACCAGTCATGGCGATTTCCGACAAGAAGTGTCCAACCATTTTCTCTACTGATGCATCAAACATTGGGTTGGACACTATACTATCCCAAATGCAAAATGAGAATGAAGGAGTTATTGCACACACTTCCAGCAAATTGTCGGCGGGAGAGCTTTTTTACTCTGCCAGGGGAAAAGAAGCCCTTGTCTGCGTTTGGGCCTGTGAGAATTGGAATTTGTTCTTGCTCGGAAGACCCTGCACTCCTCGTACAAACCACGCAGTGCTAACTAGATTACTTACTCGGGGAACAAATGGCATCAGGCCGCTTCGGACACATCGCTGGTATGCACGCTTGTTAACATACGATTTTCAAATTAAATTCCGTCCCGGACATGAAAACCAGGTAGCGGATGGGCTCTCTCAGCTGCCCCTAAACGAAACTGAAAATATAGAGGTTGATACTGGGAGGTTAACGGTGTCTTTCCTGAGTAGTGAACGAATCTCAGCTCTGACTAAGGAAGAACTCCAGAAGGCGACTCAGCAAGACGACACACTCAGCCGCTTACAGGTTTTCGCTAAACGGCTGACCACAGAATAACAAGATCACAGGCAAGTTTCGTCCATACTACGTGTTTTGTCACGAATTTTCATTTATAGATAGGGGTTTAATACGTAGCGAAAAATTTGTGGCTTCTCGGAGCTTGATGCAAAAGGTCATCCCATGTGCTCACGAAAGCCACCCTGGTATGGTATAGAAAGCAAGGTTGGCGCCTGCTTCTGATGGCCCAGGATGTCACAGGAAACAGAAAAACTTGTTCACGACTGTTCTTCATGTCAAAGAACAGTTTCCTGCCCTATACAACCCATTGACTATCTCATGCGACCGCGGTCCAAAATAGCTCTTGACAACATGGGTCCATTTAGCTCAGTGTCTCAGCATCATAGGATCTGTTTGGTGACGACATGCTTTTACAGTAAATGGCCGGAAGTCCATTTGTGTGTAGAGGTGACTAATGCCAGCATTATTCGATGGCTGAAGTACATGTGCTCCCATTTCGGACTACCAGAGAAGATGGTGACTGACAACGGCCCGCAGTTTGCACGAGTTTCTTTCGTTCCTTCAGCTTCAGGCCATCCGACACTCAGGTACAACTCCATACAATCCAGCGGCAAACGGCATGGCAGAGCGGCTCGATCGATCCTTGAATGAGAGTATCAAAACTATTCGCTTATCTGGCACCTGTTGGGAGGATGCAGTTCTACAAGCAATATTTTCTTGCCGAACGGCACATCACCGAGCCACAGACGAAACGCCAGCTGAACTCATGCTTGGAGATGCTCTTAGGACAAAGTTAAATGCCGCATTTCGATTCCTGCAACTAATAATTCCGACGAGTTAGATCGTCGCCATCGATATCGGACCACCTAGGGTAAGCTTAGTACTCCGCTCCAGCCCGGAACATTCTTGCGCGGGAAGGTAAACGCTGCATCAAAAGGACAGTCCACGTTATCATATCCGATAAGAATAACACGCGCAGGCTAGGCACTTATCGGCTGGAAGATAGCCG